GAGTTATTAGCAAGTGCCTCCCCAACTGAGACAAAAAATGGTTAAAGCCATTAACAATGTCATGTTGGTTAACAAGATCGGTCTTTAAACCATTGTGTGTAGAAGACATATGTAGTGTACTTGGCAAATTTACATTATTCCTGCCACCAAGAATATCCTTAATAACTTTCTAAGTCTTATTATTATCTCCTTGACAACATGTGAACTGGTCAGCATAAAAATTCTGCTTAGCTCATTTAAAAATATTTGTAAGCATGTTCCGATAGTGTTTATAGTTTGCCAGGATATCTGGATGGTAGTTACTTTTTAATACTTTTGAATATAGTTTCTGTTTACAATCAATTGACTTCCTAATTCCTGCAGTTATCCAAGGTTTCCTAGTTTTTCTTTTTTGGGTTAAAGTTTTAGTAACTAGGGGCGCATGCTCATTACAAATACTTGTGCAAAAATGATTCATATGCTACATTGACGTCAACACTCTCATAAACACAGTTCCAGTTGTCACTACACAAGTCGTCTTGAAATGAGCTTACATTTAAATTGGAGTAGTCCCTGAAGGTTACATTTTTTGGTTCTTGAAAATAAACACAGAGATCATCAAAGATGGCAAAAATAGACAAATGATCAGAAAGATCAACCTCCACTGTACCACAATTAACATAATTAGTAAGTGTATTCGTATAAATATGATCAATAACCGTACGCGAGTGATTTGATATCCGTGTTGGCATGGTAATCATTTGAAATAAATTTAGGGAAGACATACTATTGGTTAGATTGATTGTTCATCTGCATGGACATTATAAGTATTTATATTGATGTCACCAACAAGTATCCACTGAATTTTTATGATCAATATCAATTAACACGGATTCAAGGCTTTCAAGAAACCCGTCCACATTTGTGTTTGGTTTTCTGTATATTATACCAACTATGAGTGATTTATTTCTGCACATATACATTTTCAGCCATAGTGATTCAGAATGACTGACATTTGCTTCTATAGTTGTGAACTTTAAAGATGTCTGAATATACGCCCCCACTCCCCCAACCTCGCTGGTCATTTCGATATTTAGTTTCCAAATGATACCCATCTAAACAGTACAACTTTCTGTTTTGTATCTGCCAAATTTCAGATACTGCAATGACTTTGATTTTTGATTTTATAAGCGATTCGTAGAATAATTTGAAATCTTGAAAATTTCGACTG